TGCCTCTGCATCTTACATTCTCTGCCTTTCCTGAAGGTGCTGTCATTGTTTGGATATGTTGGATGGAAGATCAGATGAATAGAGTTGGGTAAGCATTAGCCTAAAACAACTTTAGATGAACTAACAGGACCGCTTTTTTTATGTCATTATTTGTAATGGTAGGCGCATGCTACATGCCTAAATGTCGTTCTTCAACAAAGCTGTAAAAGTCCAATTGTTGTCTATAAAATGGTGAATCTACAGTTGTTATGGCCTATGATTAGGGAAACAACACTGCAATGAATGAAGACAAATTAGTGCTTTAGAACTGCAGTCTATAAATTTGTGCATGCAGCATTAGTACCCTGGTATTAAATGCATATCATGCTTAGCATAAGGTAAGCATGTTGCATCTTTATTACTGAAGCACGTGACGATCTATAGGTTCAAATGCATGTTATTAATTAATTTTAGTTACTCCTTGTATGTTTTTGTAGCTGGGTTATCAATTTCTTGGTTCTCAAGTTTAGCTTAGGCCATTTGTGAGCACATTATTGAAGTGATCAAGGCACCAACTTGGTTTGCAACTCACTTCCATGAACTCACCTCATTAGCTCATGAAAGTAATGATGATGAGCTTTAGAGGAAACAGAATTGGTGTGGCGAACTATCTTGTCAGTGCTCACATTGACTCATCAAATTGCAAATTAACAATGCTGTCCAAGGTAGGTTGATACCAACTCAAATTAATAACAGGGTAAGAGTTTATAGGATCTGATTCATCAAGGTAAGAATTTGGATTGCTTAAATTTTACAGGCAATGAAGCCTGCCAGGCCATGCTTGCTTCCAGTTTAACATTTTAGCTGCAAATATTAAGTTGCTTAAATTTTGACAATGACTAAAATACATGACAAAGCATTCTACTTTGCATGTCTAATTAGAGGCCAGGATGGTGGGATCTGGTGGATTATTGCCAACTTAAAAGAGACAGTTAGACCTGGGGTTATTTTTGACACTACAATCACAAGATTCTTTGTTCTGATCAAAAAAAGAAAACCTAAGGAATGGATAATATTCATCCACCTACCTTTAGACAATTGGTGTGGCTCATACAGTTGTGTTCGTTCTCCATTGCTTTTGTTTGGTTGGCATTGTAGAAATAGCTACCTTATCCTTGATAAATTGCATAATATTTTTAAGAAAGCAACTTCAACGATGTACAAGACTTAACTTGCCAGGGTTCTATCCTTGGATTCTATTCATTATTATCTCCAAGAAAAAGAATGTGTGTGATCTCGATGACATGTCAAAGGGTGCTGCCAGGGCTCACAATTTGAAGGAGTTTGTTGATATTCCATTAGAGTGATGGACGTGAATCAAGCTACGCAACAAGTTTCCAAGTTGAAATATACTTAAAAATAGATGCAGTAAGGTGTTGCTAGCTCTAACAATTCTTCTAGTCATCTCTAACATAAAGTGGCCTCTTTTACTGTTGGCATACTTGCCAAGTCATCCCCATATATAGGAAATGTCTTTGGTCATTACTTGCAAATTGCAAGCATAGCTTCAAGTCCATTACTCCATTTTTGTGTACTGTGAAGTTTTAACCACCATTGCAGCCTCCAGGAAGTAGCTAACCAGTCAACCCTATGCATGTAAATTGTTTAATCTAATGTCAGAATTTAAGACATTCAGAATGTCTTATCTGGATTGTATTTCTTGTGCATTAATTGTCTCGAGCTGCATCTCTTCAATATTTATATATATGGTGCTGGTCTACACACACCACGCTCTTACCCTACTATTCTATTAAATCACTTTGAAAACCAACGTTACTTCATCCGTTGTCGTCCAGCGGTTAGGATATCTGGCTTTCACCCAGGAGACCCGGGTTCGATTCCCGGCAACGGAAACATGTTTTTAGTCATTCGTTCATGACATATCGATCATTTTAGGGATATTCATCAGAATATACTGTAAAAAGCAATGTTTCATATAGATAACAGGTTTTTGCACAATTTGCTTTTCTTCCGAAAGACAAAAGTAATTCAAACTTGAAATGTATTTAAAATTGCTTTTTAGCAAATCCAAAATAATAATAATAATAATAATAATAATAATAATAATAATAAACCCTCTCAACTCTCTAACAGCCCTTACTTTACAAAATGTGCTCTTAGATTTATTTCATTATGACCAAGGAATTAATTAGCATGTGGTGATATAAAGATAATTTTTTTATATAATTTATCTTTGTTGTTAAATAAATAGAAGTGCTTAATATTATAGGTTTTAAATAAATAAAAAAATTAATTTTTTAAATAATATATAAGATTGTATAAAAAAATAATATAAAAAATTATTCTAAAATTATTTTCCTTAACTAGTAGTTATTCATTGAGACTGATTAAATGGTTTTTTTAAAGATATATGTTAAAAATATATTTAGAATTTATTGCGTATTAGTCTCAACTTTAAAAAAAATAGAGTTTTAATCTATATTTAAAAACTAAAATTTCAATTCAAAATTTAAAAATCTAATCAGTTTTCGAATTTAAATGTTAATTTTTAATAAGATAAGTTTTAAAATTTTAAATTAAGTTTTAATTAAATAAAATAACGTAATTTAAAATGAGAGCTCTAATTTTTTTTAAAGTATGAACTTAAATGTATTATTTCATATATTTATTATATATATTATTTATTATTAAATTATATAAAAAATTAAAAACTAATTTTAATTTTATTAATCATTTAATTAAAATATTATGTATAATATTAATATAAAAAATAAAATTTATTTTTTTAATTAATGATAAAAAATTTAATAAATATATTGTTAACTAAAACTCTTAAGAGGCACATGTTAAAAAAAATTTTGTTGAATTCAAAATTACAACTTATTTAAAAGGATATGTTAAGACAAATCCCTAACTAGATTCAAAACCACAACTCATCAATTGGGAATTAATGATATAGTCTTGCCCGGAATGTCGAAGACAAATGCTGTTCGCTGAAGTCGCCAACTTCCTATTTGAGGCAGGCAATCTTGAGATTGTTAGACAACTACAATCGGTTGTTTCATGCCTTTAGCACAAAAAATTATAGAAAAAACTATGCGGCACAATATTTGCTGCATGGTATCTTGTACAACATCATGTAAAAGCTAAGTTAATATATATAATTGTCAAATACTTATATATAGTTTAATTGTAACTTTTTTCAAAATAAGAGATTATAAATTTAAGTTATATAATATATGAGTAAGGTAAATTAAAATACGAGAGGAAACTATCTCTCATTATATATTTTAAAGTAAAAAAAAATTTTAAGATATATAATTAGTTTTTTTATTTAACTCTTAATATTAAAAAAGTTTATTTTTTATTGAAAATTTTATATATTATAATTTAATATATTTTAAACTATAAATTAATTTTTAAAATATAACATGACTTTTATTAACCAGAAAAAAT